TCACACACCTGGAAGTCATGCAATTGCAGAAAGGTGCTTTGTGACTTGCCAGATGCTTAACAAGCTCTTTGTTGGAGCCCCCGGTGGCGCAGTGGGTTAAAGCACTGTGCTGGCAGGACTGAAGACTGACAGGTCCAAGGTTTGAATCCGGGGAGAAGCGGATGAGCTCCCTCTATTAGCTCCAGCTCCTCATGCGGGGACATGAGAGAAGCCTCCCACAAGGATGATAAAACATCAAAAATCATCCAGGCATCCCCTGGGCAACGTCCTTGCAGACGGCCAATTCTCTCACAACAGGAGCGGTTGCTCCTGACACGACAAAAAAAAAACCTCTTTCTGTGTATTGTTGAAGGCTTTCATGGCTGGAATCACTAGGTTGTTGTAAGTTTTGGGGGGCTGTGTAGCCATGCTCCAGAAGCATTGTCTCCTGATGTTTTGCCTGCAGTCGCCCTTGGGCTGAGAATTGCGGTATATAAGAGCAGTAAATAAATAAATAAATAAATCTATGACAGACATCCTCAGAGGTTGTGAGGTCCTCACAATCTCTGAGGATGCCTACCATGGATGCAGGCGAAACGTCAGGAGAGAATGCTTTTGGAACATGATCATACAACCCCAAAAGCTTACAACAATCCAAACTCTTTTGCCTTTTGGGTCCAAAAACTTAGGAGAGGGGCTGTTGAGCCTCAGAAATGGCTCTTTGGTTAGTGCAGCCTTCTCTAACCAGTTGCCTTTCAAATGTTTTGGAGTTGACACAGTGCATTTGGAAGCTGAAATAAAAATAATAATAAAATAAATTCCAACCTGCGATATATGATAGCCAGTTGCCTCTGGGGAAACTTCACATAAGGGAAAAATGTGTCATAAGTAGTAAAGGTCTGTTTTACAACTTTGGGGAACACCAAATTAAGAGGGTTAGCTCATACACCAAGGGCCATGATCAAAACAGGGAAAATTGTAAAGTACTAGAGAAGAAAAGTAAAGTACTAGAGAGATAGGACACCTGGCTTGAAAACAGATCATGTTTTCAAGCCAGGCATCTGGGAGTCTTAGTAGATGACAAGCTGAACTTGGGTCACCAGTATGAGGTGGCAGCTAAAAGAACCAATGTGATTCTAGGCTGCATCAACAGTATAGTGTTTAGATCAAGAGAATAATCCCACTCTATTCTGCCTTGGTCAGACCTCACCTAGACCCTGCCTACTCCAACATCAAGCTGGCTTTAAACCTAGATGTCCCAGAAGTGTTTGCAACATTACCTGAGTTCTACGTGGAGGATGTTGCAAAATTCTTGTTTTTTTATTGTCCACCTGGAATATTGTGACCAGAATTGTGTGCAGTTCTGGGAAACACATTTTTTTAAAAAAATGTTGTCAATTTGGAGTATCTCTAGAGAAGGGCGAGAAAAACCATGACCTGTGAGGAGCAGCTTAGGAAGCTGAGTATGTTTAGCTTCGAGAAAAGAAGGTTAAGAAAGGACATGTTAGCCATGTTAGCCCATATTTGAAAAGATTTCATATTGATGATGAAGCAAGCTTGTTTTCTGCTACTCTGGGGTTTAAGTGTAATGGATTCAAACTACAGGAAAGGGCATTTGAGCATTAGGTAGAACCTCCTGATGGTAACAACTATGCTGCCCTGGAGGGTGGTGGAGTCTCCTTCTCTAAAGGTTTTTAAGAAGAGACTGTAAAGCCATCTGTTGGGATGCTCCAATTAAAGCTGGAAGCTTTCTTGTCCTTCTAAAAGCAAGATGAATAATCAAAGTGGATAGCTAATCCATCCTTTTGATTGTCCTCAAGCCAAGCTTTCTTGTTTGGTGCAATAATTAGAATTGACTCAATTACACGTGCATACATAGGCATATTTATTTATTTATTTATTTATTTATTTAATACACTTATATACCGCAGTATCTCAGCCTGGAACGGCGACTCATTGCGGTTTAACAACAGATAAAAGCAATATACAATTTAAAAACAGCAACATATAAAACAATACGAATTATTGGGCCACCAATAAAACTTCATGCTTCTCATCACAAAAATCGCAGTCCAGAGATCGTTGTCCGTAATTGACCAGTCCAAATTGTCCATGGATTCAGTGTTTGATAACTAGTTAAACGCTTGACTACACAGCCATGTTTTTAACCTCTTCCGGAAAATCACAGAATTGAAAGAGACCACACGAGCAACCCAAAAAAGGAGATGGGATGCAGTCTGTGGTCGGTTCTCCTTTTTTGGGTTGCTCGTGTGGTCTCTTTCAATTCTGTGATTCTATGATTAGAGTGTTATCAAGAGGTCCAAAGCTATTAATGAGAAGAACTACACAAACTAGGCAAAGGCAAACTGCTGCATCCTCTCCTAGCTTGTGTGTTCTTCCACCTTGACGACACTCGAATGTCGCTTGGAGATATGTGTCCTAGTTTCCATATGTGAAATGCTCTATGGAATGAGTTGATAGGAAGCCACCAGCCAGTGACTATGGGCCGGATATTCTCAGCTCAAGCCACAAAGTCCTTAAATGGTATAGGCTTCATAGACTTATCTCCCTGCATATCAATACATATCCTGGGGAGATACATCTAATGTGTTTCACTATCAAGTACTGCTATTAACTCTAGTTGGCTTTCTGTACAACTAAGTGCTTATGGGAGGATAGCTTTTGCTGTGACTTCAATAAACGACAGAGCTAGTATGTTCTGAGTCCTTTTGTCCATCTTTATACCTGATAATTGTTCAATTTAAAAAGCCATTTCCCAACTGCATTAGTGGCTAGCTATTCACTCCTGATCAAAGGAGCACTCTTATTATTTATTACACTGGGAACACTGAGTTCACTCTTGTAACTATGTTGGATTAAAATTACTTTGCTCATTCTTGGGACTGTTCCTCAATAGACAAAGTGCTATAATCATAAAAGAGCTTCAATTGTTTGTGATAGGTTGGAGTCACTTGACTATGATCCTCTGGCATGCAAAGTAGTTTTGCCATCTATTATTATTATAAAGGTCTAAGTCAGTGTTTCTCAACCTTCCTAATGCCGCAACCCCTTCATATAGTTTTTCATGTTGTGGTGATACCCAACCATAAAATTATTTTCATTGCTACTTCATAACGGCAATTTTGCTATGGTTATTAATCATAATGTAAATACCTGATATGCAGGATGCATTTTTATTCACTGGACGAAATTTGGCACAAATACCCGATATGACCAAATTTGAACACTGGTGGGGTTGGGGGCAGATTGATTTTGTTATTTGGAAATTGTAGTTGCTGAGATATATAGTTAACCTAGATTCAAAGAGCATTCTGAACTCCACCAATGATGGAATTGAATCAAACTTGGCACACAGAACTTCCGTGACCAACAGAAAATACTGGAAGGGTTTGGTGGGTATTGACCTTGAGTTTTGAAGTTGTAGTTCAATGACGGTTTGGGACCAAACTTGGCACAAATCCTCAATAGGCCCAAATGTGAACACTTGTGGAGTTTCGGGAAAATAGACCTTGATATTTGGGAGTTGTAGTTGCTGGGATTTATAGTTCACCTACAAAGAGCCCCTTGAATCCCACCAAAGATAGAATTGGGCCAAATATCCCACACAGGACCCCCATGACAAACAGAAGACACTGTGTTTTCTGATTGTCTTTGGCAACCCCTCTGACAACCCCTTCTGTTGCCCCCCCCCCACCAGGGGTCCTGACCCCCAGGTTCAGAAACACTGGCCTAAGTCATTATAATATATTCACTAGTTGGCCCAGATTAGGTTTTGATAACAAAATGACTGATTATTCAAAAGTGGAAATGCATGTTCCATTTTCCTCCCTGCCCCCAAAAGGAACCCTGGTTACATTCTGTAACAGCAGAGAACAAGTTCTGATGGTCCAAAGATCAACTTTTGCTTTTTCGATTCAATAGGAACCATATTAGAAATGGAAATACCATTCCCAAAAGCTGTAAATTGTCAGATTGAGTATTCCTGCATTACAGTGGATTGGAGTGAATGGCCCTTGTGGTCTCATCCAATTCTATAGTTTTGTTTTTCTATTATTCTGCTTGGGGTGTGAGTTTTCATGATGGCTGGATGGCTTGAATAGCCCATTTTGGCAGTCTTGCATCCCATTTTGGCATAAAGGCACAATTCTGCAAGGATGGGGAAAAATCAACACTAAAGTTTTATTTTGTTGTTTTTAAAACCTGTTTTACCACAGGGTGTATTCAAAGCTATTGGACCACAAAATGACCCTGGGGATATTTGTGGCCTGTAGATCACATACCAGACTTTCAATATGGAGACTGAAAGTGATGATTGTGGTCCCAAAGAAACTCATCATGTAAAGCAGATTTGGGATTGTACTCCTCAAGAAAGGAGATCCATGCATGCAAGCAAAGACAGCTTCTCATAACTTTTTAATGTTCATCTGCTCCTTGACTCCAAGGGGAACTAAACTGCTATAGCCAAATGGACATGGGGCAAGTCTCAGAAAACAGAACATCAGAGGAGCATTGTGTTCTCATTGTGTAATAATGGCTGTGGCTCAAACAAAAACCCAGACACCTTTATGAATGTTTCATAGCTTATGTGTGCCTCTAACAAACATTCTACTCCACTACCTTTTGCCTTGACGATTTATGAGAAGTTTTTCTACTTTCCTTTCATGCCAGCTCCCTCCTCCTCACTTTGAAGCCTAAACACCATCCAAATGTACTTGTAAATTAGCAAAGTTGATTGTGGGGATAGTGGCAACCAGCACTGAGAACAACAAAATATTTGGAGATAGGATAATCTTTATTTTCCCTTAACCAAAATGAGACCACCTGGACATGTTGAAGTTCAATGGCTACCATCCTCACTCATGATCATGGACAATGAATTTGTTGTCGAAATCTTTTTGGATATCCACTGGTTCCTTACTCCAACTCTGTAATGCTTATTTTCATGTTTCCCATTGTTCCTCACCTATTATACTTTCCCCTCTCTCTTTTTCTTTCCCCAGGTTACCAAAATGTTGGCTGTGGTTGTCATCTTGTTTGCTCTTTTGTGGATGCCCTACAGAACCCTTGTGGTTATCAACTCTTTCCTCTCTCACCCTTTCCAAGAAAACTGGTTTTTGCTCTTCTGCAGGATCTGCATTTACCTAAATAGTGCTATCAACCCTGTGATTTATAACCTCATGTCACAGAAATTCAGAGCATCCTTCAGAAAACTCTGCAAATGCCAGAAGAAGCAGTCAGAGAAGCCCTCCAACTACAGTGTGGCCCTCAACTACAGCGTCATCAAGGAGACCAATCATTTCAACACAGAGCTTGAGGACATCACTGTCACCGATGCCTACTTGTCATCTGCAAAAATATCTTTTGATGAAACATGTGTGTCCTCTGAGGTAAAGGACTAGAAAAAGTGTAATAAATTTATTTAATGAACTTGAGTTAATTGAATTACTTCTGAACATCAGAAGTTCTGGAGTCTTCTAGACTGGTAGTACTCTTATCTAGACATTAGCTTAACCCCGACCAGATTTGCTGCAGATCCTGTTGGTTCTGGAAGCAGCAACAAAGGGAATATTGTCCTATTCCTAACTGACTTGTGTAGGAAGAGAAATGCTGAGGAGGCAGATGAGAGAAAGTTGAGGAATATAGAGATATTGAGATGGAAACATGGGAAGTGGGACGAAAATGAAGGATGGGGGTTGCCCTGTTTACTCATTGCTGACAAGTGAGCCTTTATTAGATCACCATTGAGCAAGTCCCTTGGTTTTGGAAATATTGCACCCTCCCCCCAATCTTATATAAAAATGAACAAATCTGCCCGCTTTGTTTTCTCCCATGTTTAATTTTTTGTGATTGTTTAGTTAATTTTAATAGTGGGAAAAGGAATTGAACAACAGTCTCACCTATCCCTAACTTATGCAGACCTCAATTTGTTTGAACAGATATGACCAATCTATTGTCGAAGGCTTTCATGGCCGGAATCACTCAGTTCTTGTGGGTTTTTTCGGGCTATATGGCCATGTTCTAGAGGCATTTCTCCTGACGTTTCGCCTGCATCTATGGCAAGCATCCTCAGAGTTAGTGAGGTCTGTTGGAACTGGGAAAAGGGGTTTATAGATCTGTGGAATGACCAGGGTGGGACAAAGGACTCTTGTCTGCTGGAGCTAGGTGTGAATGTTTCAACTGACCACCTTGATTAGCATACAATGGCCTGACAGTGCCTGGAGCAAACTTTTGTTGAGAGGTGATTAGATGTCCTTGTTTTTTTTTGCTGTTTTAATTTTAGAATTTTTTAATACTGGTAGCCAGATTTTGTTCATTTTCATGGTTTCCTCCTTTCTGTTGAAATTGTCCACATGCTTTTTGTGGATTTCAATGGCTTCTCTGTGTAGTCTGACATGGTGGTTGTGAGAGTGGTCCAGCATTTCTGTGTTCTCAAATAAAATGCTGTGTCCAGGTTGGTTCATCAGGTGCTCTGCTATGGCTGACTTCTCTGGTTGAAGTAGTCTGCAGTGCCTTTCATGTTCTTGGATTCTTGTTTGGGCGCTGCGTTTGGTGGTCCCTATGTAGACTTGTCCACAGCTGCATGGTATACGGTAGACTCCTGCAGAGGTGAGAGGATCCCTCTTGTCCTTTGCTGAACGTAGCATTTGTTGGATTTTCCTGGTGGGTTTGTAGATTGTTTGTATGTTGTGTTTCCTCATCAGCTTCCCTATGCGATCAGTGGTTCCCTTAATGTATGGCAGGAACACTTTTCCTCTGGGTGGATCTTCATCTTTACTCTCGTGGCTTGTTTTTGGTCTTGCAGCTCTTCTGATGTCTGAGGTGGAGTATCCATTGGCCTGGAGAGCCCAGTTGAGGTGGTTCAGTTCATCTTGGAGGAGGTGGGGTTCGCAGATTCTTTTTGCACGGTCTGCCAAGGCTTTAATGGTGCTTCTTTTTTGACTTGGGTGATGGTTGGCGTTTTTATGTAGATATCTATCTGTGTGTGTGGGTTTTCTGTAAACGGTGTGACCCAATTGTTGATCTGGTTTGCGGATGACTAGGACATCTAGAAAAGGCAGTCTTCCTTCCTTTTCTTTTTCCATAGTGAACTGGATGTTAGGGTGGATGCTGTTAAGATGTTCCAGGAACCTGTTGAGTTCTTCTTCTCCATGGCTCCAAATGGTGAAAGTGTCATCCACATATCTGAACCATATAGTGGGCTTTTTGGTTGCTGTTTCAAGAGCTTGTTTTTCAAATTGTTCCATGTAGAAGTTAGCTATGACTGGGCTGAGAGGGCTCCCCATAGCTACTCCATCTTTCTGTTCATAGAATTCATTGTCCCACTGAAATAGCTGGTGGTGAGGCAATGGTGAAACAGCGCCGTGATGTCTTCTGGGAACCTCTGGTTGATGAGTGCCATGGTGTCTGCAACTGGGACCATGGTAAATAGAGACACCACATCGAAGCTGATCAGTTTGTCCTTTGTATTTAGCTTGAGATTGCTGATTTTTTCAATGAAGTGGGCTGAGTCCTTGATGTAGTGTGTTGTGAGCCCAATGTGGCTTTGTAACTGTGCAGCAAGAAATTTGGCTAAGTCATATGTGGGGGACCCAATGGCACTCACGATTGGTCTGAGTGGGGTGGAGTCCTTATGGATTTTGGGGAGCCCATAAAGCCTGGGTGGAAGGGCTTCCGATTTACATAGCTGCTGTCGTATGTCGAAGTTTTTTTTTTTAATTAAAAACTCCTCAATCAACTTCGACATACGACAGCAGCTATGTAAATCGGAAGCCCTTCCACCCAGGATCTCAAGCTAAATACAAAGGACAAACTGATCAGCTTCGATGTGGTGTCTCTATTTACCATGGTCCCAGTTGCAGACACCATGGCACTCATCAACCAGAGGTTCCCAGAAGACATCACGGTGCTGTTTCACCATTGCCTCACCACCAGCTATTTTCAGTGGGACAATGAATTCTATGAACAGAAAGTTGGAGTAGCTATGGGGAGCCCTCTCAGCCCAGTCATAGCTAACTTCTACATGGAACAATTTGAAAAACAAGCTCTTGAAACAGCAACCAAAAAGCCCACTATATGGTTCAGATATGTGGATGACACTTTCACCATTTGGAGCCATGGAGAAGAAGAACTCAACAGGTTCCTGGAACATCTTAACAGCATCCACCCTAACATCCAGTTCACTATGGAAAAAGAAAAGGAAGGAAGACTGCCTTTTCTAGATGTCCTAGTCATCCGCAAACCAGATCAACAATTGGGTCACACTGTTTACAGAAAACCCACACACACAGTTAGATATCTACATAAAAACTCCAACCATCACCCAAGTCAAAAAAGAAGCACCATTAAAGCCTTGGCAGACCGTGCAAAAAGAATCTGTGAACCCCACCTCCTCCAAGATGAACTGAACCACCTCAACTGGGCTCTCCAGGCCAATGGATACTCCACCTCAGACATCAGAAGAGCTGCAAGACCAAAAACAAGCCACGAGAGTAAAGATGAAGATCCACCCAGAGGAAAAGTGTTCCTGCCATACATCAAGGGAACCACTGACCGCATAGGGAAGCTGATGAGGAAACACAACATACAAACAATCTACAAACCCACCAGGAAAATCCAACAAATGCTACGTTCAGCAAAGGACAAGAGGGATCCTCTCACCTCTGCAGGAGTCTACCGTATACCATGCAGCTGTGGACAAGTCTACATAGGGACCACCAAACGCAGCGCCCAAACACGAATCAAGGAACATGAAAGGCACTGCAGACTACTTCAACCAGAGAAGTCAGCCATAGCAGAGCACCTGATGAACCAACCTGGACACAGCATATTATTTGAGAACACAAAAGTGCTGGACCACTCTCACAACCACCATGTCAGACTACACAGAGAAGCCATTGAAATCCACAAACATGTGGACAATTTCAACAGAAAGGAAGAAACCATGAAAATGAACAATCTGGCTACCAGTATTAAAAAATTCTAAAATTAAAACAGCAGAGAGAAAAACAGGCAGGGACATCTAATCACCTTTCAAGAAGAGTTTGCTCCAGGCACTGTCAGCCCATTGTATGCTAATCAAGGTGGTCAGTTGAAAAGATTCACACCTAGCCCAACTTACAAAAGCCTTTTGTCTCACCCTGGTCATTCCACAGATATATAAACCCCTTTTTCCCAGCTCCAGCAGACCTCTGAGGAAGCTTGCCATAGATGCAGGCGAAACGTCAGGAGAAATGCCTCTAGAACATGGCCATATAGCCCGAAAAAACCCACAAGAACTGTATGACCAATCTGCTTGCACATTATGATCGCTACCTTGAATCCATGACCAGTGATTTCCCTAGAGGCTTTTATAGCAGTGGTCTTCATTGCCTCTTGACTGTGAATTGCAGTTTTCCATAACTGGCTCATCAAGCAGCTTCAGAAACATCCACTGAATCATGAACATGATGGGTCGATCCAGTAGTCCGGTTTCAAAACTATGAGAACTGAGATCTTTAGGCTATGTTTCTATGACCTTTTGTTGGCGGTGTATGGTAAGGGAGCTCATGCTTTCCACTTCTGCCATATAAATTGGTTTCCGTTTCCATTTTTCATTTCAGGTGATGTGAAGGTGGAGGAAGCATTACCTCCTGCTCTGTTCAGATTCTTCTACTTCGATTGATATCACAAAATTAGATAGTTTCAAACCAATCTGATCATTTTCTAATAATATTTGATGTGATAAAGCTGATTAATATCATGGCTGTTCATACCTCATGGAAGCAATTTTATGTCATTACAGAATTGCTTGCTTTATGGAAACTAAGAGGCAAAAGGCAAATGTATGTACATACTTACTTCTGTGTTCTAACATTAGTTTCAAAATTATATGCTAATGGGGAGGAATTTTATTTATTTATTTACAGCATTTGTATACTGCTTTTCTCACCCCGAGGGGGACTCACTTTCCACTCTTTACCACGGATTTACTTAGACTGGGTGGTTTTTGATTAGTAATCTTAACTCTTTTGCATAAATCTTTCTCCCTAATTTCTATTACCAGAAATGGAGATAGGGAGGGATGGGATTTTTTGTGCCTTGGGGCTACTATGAGTCAGAAAAAAAAATGTAAAGCTGGCAACAGTAACTTTCCTTTCCAAACTGTCCCACAGTCCCACACGTATGAGAATCACAGTGAATTTGAAATGACAGTACAGGCTTATAGCACTATGGTACTGCTTTAACTGCCATGGATCCATCTTCTGGAATGCTGGGTTATAGAGTTTGGTGAAGCTTGGAGTATTCTGACCAAGGATTCTAAGTACTCCTCCCTAAATGTCAAATTTAAACGATAGTTAAAATAGAGTCCTAATACAATAATTGTATAGTGTGAAAGGGTCCCTAGATCACATGCATGCTTTGCTTGCAGTTGGATGGGCACTCAACAATTTGGCTCTTCTCAGACATCTGGTGGTTCAGGCTGAAAATCCTATCAGCCAGATGAGTATTTATAAAATTCCTATGTCAGATTAATCTCATCCTATACCAGCTGGTGGCTCCTGTGTCAATGAACTGTAACTCTCCTTCAGGTTTACAACCAACTTTAAAGGAGCTTTTCAACATGTTAAACCTATAGTGGGTCCTTGGTTTCCATCCAAGTTTAATTCCAGGACCCCTTTGATGCCAAAATCTTTGGATGTTCAAACCTCATTATATAAAATGAGATTCCTTATATTAAATGTAAAACAACTCAAATGAGTGCCAGAGAGAGCCTTGAGATCTATGAAATGGTTGGATGATACAGCAGGATAGTATGTAGCAAATCAAAATTTAGGTGGGGTTTTTTTTTTGGATTTTTCCTCTGAATATTTTTCAGCATTCGTTAGTTGAATGTGTAAATGTAGAACCTCTGGATACAGTGGGCCAACTATATTTAGAATGGTAGGATTCAGAATGAAGGAGCAGGGGGTGGTGATGGCTGACAGGGAGCTCTGGTGTGGGCTGGTCCATGAGGTCACGAAGAGTCGGAGACGACTGAACGAATGAACAACAAAGGATTCAGTACCTTGGACAGCTTCATTAAAGTCCAATATTCCAAGTAGATTTACTGATGTGTTAACAATCAGTTATAAATGTATTTATTAAAATAATTTATGAATGGTCCTATATCCTTGTAGATACCATATTAGTATATAGCCAGCATCACTTGAATACTGCAATGATCAATGATTTCCTTAATGTTGGTACTCCCTCTACCAAATCATGTCATACTGTTATTGTGTTCGTAGTTGCTGTATTTAATTCATCACTAAGTAATCAATCTTCTGCTGCTCACCCTCCCCATATTTTGGTCTACCCTAGGAGAGCATAAATATGGTTTCTGATTTATGATGACCATCAAGGTAGGCCCACCAGCTTGGTGTAACTTACACAAATTATCCTTTACTAGTATAGCTTTTGAAAGTTCAGTGTCATCTCCAAACAATAATGCAGAATCAGAGTAAATGCAACCATTTCGAATGATTATATAGTGTACTACAAGCACAAAACCAATACAAAGTATGCATACGTAATCCTAAAATATGAGAGATGGAAGTATGAGTCATTTGCACTTTCTTGCCACCTGTGACTTAATTATTGGGGCTAGTCTAAATTCTCAGGCCACAATATTCATAATGCTAGTCATTTGCATGTAAATAATTTGTTTTAAAATTGCAATGTGGAGGGGATTAATTCTTCCCTTCTGGGTTGAACTCCCAATGAAAATTGACCCATTCCATGAAGATACCATTTGGTATGAAATCATCTGGTGTGATAGCATGGCATAGTGGTTTGTGTTTTGGACAATGACTCTGGAGACAAGGGTTTGAATCCCTTCTCAGCCATAGAAATCAACTGGGTACCCTTTGGCAAGTCACACACTCTAATCCCAGAAAACTTATGATAAGTTTGCTTTAGGATTACTATAAATCAGAAACAACATGAAGGCAGACAACAGTAGCAGCTGCTGCTGCAGCAGCAGCAACAACCATATGAAGTAAATCTTCCATTTGCATCAGTGGAACCTAATAGTTGGGTGTCTGCTTTCTTCTTTCTTTTTCTACTCTCAGTTTGTGCACTGATTCTGCAAACATGTGGGTACGTACACAGACACACAGACCAGGGGAAATTGTATGGATATTTGTCCAATCAAAAGGACTCAGAGGACAAGAAAAGGTCTGTGAAGCTGGAGGAAATGAATGTTCTTGATAGAGAAGCAAACATTTACTCTCAGCATATGTTGGATTTTCTTCAAGATTAAAAAAAAGTGTTCACAGAAATATTATCCTCCTGGATTTGAATATATACAGTCTAACAATCCACTATTGCATTCTTCACATGTAACAGTATTTTATAAAGATTAAATTATAATTACAGAGAGATCTCAAGAGCAGAATCAGTGTAATAGCTTTTCATTCCAAAGGAAATGGCACAGTAAAATTTAATTTTCTCAATGGTGCAGTGTATTCTGAACTGTTCCTTGGAAGCCGGAAAAGGGATCAAGGGTCTGTTACATCTTCACTCTCTCCTTGTGTGCTGTTTGATCATTCACTTCTTCATTGTAATTGGTTTGGTTATGAGATATTAGACTAAATGTCTTGAATTTCAAATAGTTTTGGATTCTTTTTTGAAAAAAATGTTTTAAAGTGCCATGCCCTGAATTGTTCACATTTAGGCCAAAATATTTTCTCTTCCCCTCTCCCCCCCCCCAATATATATCTGAGGGACAGAGCAGAATAAAGACACCCCTCTCCTTTTCTCAGGGCTCCATCTACACCACCCAAAATACAGATGGGAGATGGGAAATTTCTCTGAAATTATCCATATTACACATAATATCTTGATACTATTGTAACTGGCAAAGCAGCAGCTTACAAAACATTACAAAACATTGAACTATTCCATCTACAGATGGGAAGTTAGGATCAAAATCAATATCCAGATTATCTTTGATAATCACCCAGATACGATGACTTACAGATTCAGAGTTCTTGCACGTCCAACTGGAGATTTGTGGCTTTGATGTCAGGAGTCAGAGAACCTGGTCTAGGTTTTAGCTTGAGCTTTAAAGAAGCTGCCCAGAGTATTTAATTTTAACCACAAATAGTTGAGTGTCTTGGATAACTTCTTTGAAATTCAGATTAATACCTGGACTGGATTCGGCAGCCCACTGAAAGAAATAAAGTCCATCCAAAATTCACATTTCTCCATTTCAAATAACTTTTTGTTAATTGTTTATCTGTTGAATGCACATGCCCTAATAGGAGCAGCACATTTAAAAAGAAAAGAAGAAAGAAAGAAATTAACCTTATTGTCAAAGAAAATGCAAGTTTCCCTCCTAAATAGGTATATACATCTATGATTGAGAACTGGAGCTTGGAAAAGTTCCTCTCTGGACTACGAGTCTCAGAATTTCTGAGTTGGCTAGGCTACTATTCATATTGACTGGTGGATGTAGTCCAAAATAACACTATGTAACATAGTTTTTGTTCCTGGCTTATAAATGCAATTTCCTAATCACTTCCATCATAAAAATTGAACAAGTTTATTAAACAGCAAAAACTTTGTTTTTGTGGGATATCCTTCAGCACATTTTGCTATAGTTTTTCAATGAATATCTCATCAAATCTCAACCAATTCAATATAGTTTGTGGCAGCCACAAAAAACTGAAGTTTCTGGAGTATAACAACTTCTTTTTAAAGTAAGTACCACACAATTAAACAGGAATAACACATTCAAACCAAGTGCTACCCCAACCCCCACCCCCACCCACCGCACCAAAAAAGGCAGGTACTATACCTTTCCCACTTTCCATTCTTTTGTCTCTTCTGCTACTGTATTATTTTAGTCATAGAATCATATGACTTCTGCTGTTGTTCTTTTAAGCCTGTTTACTAATAGTCCAATCTGCCTTATATGGGTTTGGAGATAGAATTAGAGGGTCAGAAATGACCTTATGAACAGTCTAGTTCAACCTCCCCCTCCATGCAGCAAATGTAGAATGGAAACATCACTGGTCAAATAGGTCTAACAACAATAACAACAACAACAACAACAACAACAACTTTATTCTTATATCCCGCCTCTATCTCTCCAAAGGGACTCAGGGTAGCTTATGTGGGGACCAAGCCCAATGTAAACAACGGTTACTAAGTAATACAATTAAAAACATATAACAACCAACTATATTAAAACAATAAAATTAATAAAATGTAAGACATCATAAAACATAAGCCAAACAACAAACAAACAACAGCTGAGAAAAGTGGGCTTGTGCAGATTTGAGACTATTAGGGGTAAGCCAGGTGGGATATTTCTTTCAACCCTTTTTTATGCAGCTTAGATTACTTCACAACATCAAGAACAAAATAATTAAAATACAGTACTGATGCATATTATATAGTTATTTACATCAAATAAAATCCCATTGTTATAAATTAAAACAATCACAGAAAATACTTTAATTCCCCACATTCTTATAGGGATATAAATGAATAACTATGGCCTTTCAAATGGGGTTTACCCCTCCACCAGGAAGATAATTTCATAATTATCGGTAGGTGTTTAAAAAAGTCCTACTCACAAGTATTAACATCTACATTCCTACAAAAGGGAAATGGTCATTGGAACCTCTTAGCTTTACAGTGGTAGCATTAATTCAGTTACTTGCACCTTATGGCTTGGCTCTATCATCCTCTAGGACTTTCCAATCTGGAGGATCTGCTTTGTAGCTTTACGTCTATTAAATTTTCTTCAGCCTCCTTCCTGATAGCTATTCAGATTCTTCCTGCTTGTCTCTCAATGAAACACATTGGGAGTTTTACTGTACTGTTCAATGTTGCTCAAAAGTTCTTGCCAAGATTTTCTGACCCTCCTAAATTAGAATATTAGAATGCCACAGATGGACATGAGAGTGTTTGCCGTGATAACGTCAACCATTTAGAGCAAGCAGCCTTTATTATAAGGTTGCAAACAGAGTCCTCTTATTTCGCATGCCATGTTTGCCTTGTCTGGGCAAGCAAACATATTCGTCTAGCCCTGCCAATGGAAATTAAAATAACAAGGAAAAAGAATCCAGAAGTGGGTTGACCCCTAAAGCACAGCATCAAGAAATACAATTATTTTGGTTATTAGCTTGTATAGGATATAATTTAGATTTCATTAAAGGAGGGCACGAGAAAAAAAAGAAGGGCAGTTTTCCAAGCCACAGGCTATCTGTGAATCCCCAGTCAGCTTTTCATATTCAAATGCAAAAACATAAGTCATCTTTTGACTTTCAGTCAGTGCATTGAAATTAACAAGCAAAAGGTACATCTGCCAACAGCTGTGCTGGTCATAAGAAGTATATGAGGTGAATTCAGTTAAAGTTTAAACTGTAGGTGTGGAATGAAAATTACTTACAGAAATAATTTTCATTCCACTTAGACTGTCATATCATTGAGCATACATTCATATTGAATTGGACTACACAGTTTTTCATGACCCAGTCCATGCCATCATACTCATGACTTTTCACACAGATGAACAAGAATTCCAGGAAATACAAAAGACAAAAGAAATTGCCTTATGTCAAAAAACAAAACATCTTGCCTATTCAGGATATCAGGAAAAGAGGTCTTTCACATTTGTTGTTATGTGCTTTTGACATACCTGGAGAATACCTGGAAAATGTGTACTTTTACATGACTGTATATTCCTGCAGTCATGCAAAACACCTGCTTTTCTTTACTTTCTTTACCTTTGTGCAGACTGCTCCAGTTCATGTGCACTTTTTAAAACCCCAAAACAGCTGATCAGGCCCTCAAAACATGGAGCCACAAGCACACAGGTAGTTCAAGGGAAGCACAAGTAAAAAGCAATTAGAATTCTCTGAAACTCTTTCTTTTAATTCTCATTTTACAACCTCCAAAACTACACCTCAGGTAACAGAGCCCCCATGCACTTTTTAAAAGTTAATAGCACAGAGCACATCTACACTGGGCAGGTTAGTTAGGTATAAATCTGAACTTGGAGTACTGAATCGGAGGTTGTCATCCAGACAGCCTGGAACTGTATCTGCCCTGATCATCATTTCATCTGTGTTGATGCTGGCATCACTCCTAAGCAGACTATTTGAGCTCTTGGCTATTGAGGGCGCTTCTCTGATGATCACCAAGAAGGAGGGGACGATCTGCTCTCCTTTCCATTAGTCATGTGTGTACCCCATTGCAACAGCAATAGAGATGTCCATGGTGGACAGAAGCTCAGGAGCTTTATGGTCACCTAGGAGCAGTAGCGACACAAGCATGATCCATCCCCTTCCACTGTGCTTATTGGAGTAAGTGTGATGGGAGTAGTGCCCATCTGGAAAGTGGAATGGGTCAAATTGGGCCCAATTCAGTTGTCCACACTACCCAGAGCCTCCAGCTAATTCCAAACTATCCCCAACTTTGCCAGAAGCAGAACAAAGTTAGTTTAAAGCGGAAAAACCCAGGGTACTCACTAGAAACTGCTGTGCACCCTGAAGGTGGCCATTGTTTTATTCGTGATGAATATGGAATTTCAGGCCAGTGTAGACAAGCTCCCAAAATCCTTTGTCAAGCCATCATAAAGTTCCTCCTAACCGTTAACCAAGAAGTTTCATTATGTGTATTAGATGCAGGTCTGTAGCGAGGGGAGTGGGGGGTTTAGGGGTTCAAACCCCTCCCAAAATGTTTCAGATTTTTTTTAAAAAAACTTGGTTTACTCATGAATTTTAACTGGTTAACCAAATCCCCATGCTAAGTCTATGAGATGCAAAAAATTAAGAGTCCCTCCAGAACTGTAAGCACTATCTCAAGCAAATATTGACAATTTATTCACACTGTCATTACTTGCAGCAATAGCCGATGTAGTGAAGCAACCAAGTTGGGGGGGGGGGGGGAGTGTTGAATGCTCTCATTAAGGAGGCCAGACTTGGTGGAGGTGGTTGACAGGGGCGGAGCTGCAGGCTATTGAAGGCTGCTCTGCGCCCTGCTGTGCTCTTTGCTTCAGCGTGAGCTAGGAGGCAGGTTTCAACCCCCCCTGAAATTTTCAACCCCCCCCCAAATTTCAACCCCTCCCAAAAAATGTTTCTGGCTACGGTTCTGATTAGATGTACCACTTCATCACACAGGGTTTGGGCTCTGTCCTATGATGCTTCCAGTACAAAGCCTGCCAGAGTCCATCACATGAAGCAGGGCTACTTCTGGTGGGGTTCTGTCTTGGCTCCATCATGGAAATGTCATCAGACGGAGCCCTGAGAACATGAATGGTAACCCCTCTTCACATTAGGTAAGCCAGGGAAAGTGCAGGGGGGAGCCAGGCAACCATGTTTTCTCCTATGTAATGGGGAAGGAGACGATGCAGGGCACTGCCCAATGGTTTACCTGCTGCACACCAGATTTACGCTGCTGCCCCATGGATGCCCCACTATCTCCTGGCTTGAGGATCTCAATGTTAGTGCTATACCATGGAAAATGGTAAACAAAGTTCATGCTCTCTTCCATCTGGTAAAGTTTTAATATCTATTTATTTTTGTTTTGGCTCCCGGTCCTGTAGAACAGGATACTGCCAAAGAATGGCCATCTCAAACAAGTCTCAAGCAGTTTTTGAAACAGATTGTATTTAGGGTCCAGTACTAAAACACTGGCCAAATGAAAAGGCTGTAATTGGACATGAGGGA